GCATCTTCTGTTCCTATCATTTGGCATCTTTTTATATTGTATTATAATCTTTCCCAGTAATTATAAACCCTCTGAGGCTATCTTGCTCTTTTTATCTGCCTATGTTTAACTTGTTGTGTAGGGTGAATTATTATATTATTACTATCATATATATAATATAGTATGTATAATTATTCTGTGTTATTGTTTATTTTGTCTTTGTATATGTTCTTTGAAGACCAGTCCTTTCATTCTCATTAAAATGGGAGTGGCTTTTTTTTTTTTTTTTTTTAAGATCAGAGGGAGGAGAGAATCCTCAAGTAGACTCCTCACTGAGCACAGAGCATGACACGGGGCTGAATCCCAGGATCCTGAGATCACGACCTGAGCTGAAATCAAGAGTCAGATGCTTTTTTTTTTTTTTTTTTAAGATTTTGTTTATTTATTTCACAGAGAGATAGTGAGAGCAGGAACAGAAGCAGGGGGAGTGGGAGAGGGAGAAGCAGGCTTCCCGCAGAGCAGGGAGCCCGATGCGGGGCTCGATCCCAGGACCCTGGGATCATGACCTGAGCCGAAGGCAGACGCTTAACGACTGAGCCACCCAGGCACCCCAAGAGTCAGACGCTTAACTGAGTCAACCAGGTGCCCCCAAATGGGAGTTTTGCTTAGTGATTGAGAGCATAGACTCTGGAACCACATTGCTTGAATTTGAATTATCTAGTGACGTTTGGGCAAATTACTTAACATCATTATAACTTAGTTTCCTTATCTATACAATGGAGATTTGAAGAGTAAATATATTTTATGTGAGTGCTTAACACAATGCTTTATACGTTGTAAGTATTATATATGTTATGGAAGGTTTAGCTATTACTATTGATTGATTTTGGAGAAAGTCAGTTGAATAACATCAATTCATATTTACTTTGCCTGTGTTTGATCTGCCTGTTTCTTTTTATTAAAATGTCCAATTTCATTGTTTCCTTGAAATTATAGCAGCCTCTGTCTTTTGAGGCACACTATCTTGGTGATGAATTAGACCTCTAACAACTGTGTTCCCTTTACATGTTCTTTTTATAAGTAGGATTCCAGTGTTAAGGGATATGAATCCACTTTGCTAATACTTGTTTTGTAATGGCAAAACCAGTATGACCCAGTGGGAGCACTGATTCCCTTGTTGGGTTATTGCTATCTTTGCATTGCCTCAGGCCACACTGTACTAGAGGTATAAGTTAACCACCTGTCCTGTGTGGTCTTTTGCCTTGATGCTTAATCACTTGACCGATGGCCCTTTTGACAAAGACTATAGCCAGTTTTCTACAGCTGAATTAACCTTTTAGAACTGTTTAAATAAATCACTTTTTTTTTGCCTTTTTATTTATTTTTTTTATTATGTTCACTTTTTAAAAACAGTTGAAACATTTCAAGTGTGAGAGAAAAATGCAGTTTATTTCCATGTTTTAAAATGAGACCCCATTAATATTATTTTTCAAAGCAAATGTTTGTGTGTTTTGAAATTATAAAAAATTCTATGAAACTGAATTTATCATTGCAATAAACTGTCATAAACCACTTGCTTTAAGAATTATTGGTGGGGGGCACTTGGATGGCTCAGTTGTTAAGTGTCTGCCTTCAGCTCGGGTCATGATCCCAGGGTCCTGAGATCGAGTCCCACGTCGAGGCTCCATAATGGGCTCCCTGCTCGACAGGAAGCCTGCTTCTCTCTCTTCCATTGCCTCTGCTTGTGTTCTTGCTCTTGCTATCTCTCTCTCTCTCAGATAAATAAATAAAATCATAAAAAAAAAAAAAAAAATTACTGGTGGGTTCCTGGGTGGCTGAGGTGGTTAAGTGTCTGCCTTTGGCTCAGGTTGTGATCTCCGGGTCCTGGGATGGAGTCTCACGTTGAGGCTCCCTGCTTGGCAGGGAGTCTGCTTCTCCCTTCACCCCCCCCCCTGCTCGTGATCTTTCTCTCAAATAAATAAATAAAATTTGAAAAAAAAAAAAAACAATTACTGGTGATAGTGGATAGCAGAAATGAATTTTGTATAACAAGGAAAACATACTACAAATTTTTTTAAACTTAATTGCACAAGTGGGTATGTTTGAATTTGTTTACTTTTCATTTTGCTTTTGTTTCAGCTTAACTAGTCACTGTTGAATTATTTTTGTTTGTGTTATCAGATTCCATAATTAAAGCAGCTAAAATATTGTATTTTGAAATAAGAGGCCATCCGTTTTGGGAGTAGCTCTGAAAAACTCTCTATACCTAAAAACTACACTGTTAATTTGAGTTAAATCCTGAGTCTTAGTGATGTGTGGAAGTACTTGATTTTTTTTTTTAAAAGGCAGCTGTTTGGGCGCCTGGGTGGCTCAGTTGGTTAAGCGACTGCCTTCGGCTCAGGTCATGATCCTGGAGTCCCTGGATCGAGTCCCGCATCGGGCTCCCTGCTCAGCGGGGAGCCTGCTTCTCCCTCTGACCCTCCCCCCTCTCATGTGCTCTCTCTCTCTCATTCTCTCTCTCTCAAATAAATAAATAAAATCTTTAAAAAAAAAAAAAAGACAGCTGTTTATCTCCCTTTTTACCAAAATTTACTAGAAATATTATTCTTAAACTTTTTGGTTAGTGTTTTTATTAGAATTTTACAGTTTTTAAATTATAAAAAACATAAATACCCCAGAATATTAAAAAAGGATACTGTATAGATCCTTGATACCCCAGTATTTAAGAAGAAAACATAACCAGAACATAATAAAAAAAATAATGAAGTCAAAAGAAAAAGTTAAGTTTTTCAGAAGTTTTATTTATTTGAGAGAGAGAGAGAATGAATGGGAGAGAGAGTCTCAAGCAGACTCCCCACTGAGTGCAGAGCCTGATGCAGGGCTTGATCTCATGACTGAGATCATGACCAAAAGTCAGATGCTTTAACCAACTGCACCACCCAGGTGCCCCTAAAAGGTTAATTTTTAGTGTGAGTTAAGAATGAGCTAATGCAGCTAAATAATAACCTTTGTTGAAAAAAGAGAGCTATCTTGAATAACAGGGTAGCAACAGAAGAAATAATAAACCTACTGACTTATTTACATCATCAAATCAATTCTTTGACAGTTTTTATTTATATGGTAATTTTCTCCCTGCATTGTCTTGGGCTGTTGTTTTAATAAGCTAGTGTTTAAACTTCTTTTTTCTTAAAACCTGAGAGGTTGGAAATGGCCTATTAACTTTTACTTGTACAACACCAGAACACTGTCGATTTATTAGCCATGTATGTTTGCAGGTGGAGTAAAAGTATTTAGGGATAATTTAACTAGTTCTTCCTTGAAGTCTCAGCTATGCCCAAACCTCCAAAGTTAAGGATAGGATTTCAGTTCTGATAACTATTCTTTGCCAGACACAGTAATATTTCTCCTTCAGTGGCATTAGGCTATGGGTATAAATTGAATCATGATAGATAAATAGTTGCGATCAATATAGTTATGCTGCATTAGACCGTAGGGCAGAAGCTGAGTCAGCAGTTCAGTTACAGTTATTGTACAAATAAATCCATTGCATTGCCACATAGTCCTATGTTATTGGAGGGAGTATTTACTGATTTGTGCTATAGTCAATGACATTTAATGAAATTATTTTAAATGTTATAAAATTAAGGAAGGATTTAAAGCTATAATGAAAAGTGACCATCTCAGTGTGTTTTTATGCAAAATATTCTTCCTGTGTACCTATTTCTTTTATTTGTCATCATTAGCTTAGCAAGCTTTTAAATTATTAACTAATAATTAACTTTCTATAAAAGGATATCACAGGTAACCCAGAAAGAAAAGTAAGCCATGTAGGTATTTATATGCAGTTAGTGGATGCTTGATTTATGCAGAGTACTAGCATATCATCTTAGCGACTTACAAGCTGACTAAGTAGGGAAATTGCTTCACCTCTAATCCTCGGTTTTCTCATGTGTAAAATATGGATAAAGATAATATCTATCTCATAGGGTTGTTATGGGAATTAAATGAGTTAATATATGCAGAGGTTATGCTTAGTGGTCAGTGAATGTTAGCTGTTATTGTGTAATTAATTATAGATCAGTGAGAATTCTTATGTATTCTCTAGCCTTATGGCTAAGCTTCTAGAAAAGATGCTTAACTCATTGAGAAATAATGTGTGTGATGATTCATTTCACTCTTCCATTAGGTTACTTAAATTTCTTGCTGTTATATAACAACTTTGTTGAGGTTCCAAGTTAAGTTCTATAAAGGTGAATAAGGTCTGCTTTGCTTTGAAGTGTCTTATTTTGGAACTTGTATAAGAAGTCAGTAAGAGAGGGGTGAATTCCCTAAGTAACTCTATAAAAGGGAGATTTTTAGTTTTTCCCTTTTTGTGGCATAAGGAATCTGTACTGGGGGTTCATAAGTCATATCATCTTTGGGAGGTTAGAAATGTGTTTGGGAAAACATAATGATAAATTAATTATTCCATTTTTATATGTATTTTACACTTTGTCATCACCCTTTTTTTATTCAGTAATTCAGATTGTGTACTAATTTATTTATTAAAATAACACTAAGTACTGTGAAATTCTGTCATCCTTACAAAATGGTAAAAGGGAAATAGAATTTATGAAAAGATTATTTGGTAATTCTCTTTTGACATATTTTTTAGTATACCAAACCATTAAATCTTTCCTTGCTACTTTTATAATTTAACTTGTTAGCCTTTACAGTTGGGGAGGTTGTAATATGGTTACTAAAGTTGAATGGAAAAACATGTCAAGTTTCGAGGAACAAAATAACTATAAGCAGAATTCTGTAGCTATGCACAGTTCTCTACCACCTGTAATTTGATATGTCTTGATAATGACTTTATCTGGATACAGAGCCTAGTATAGTTTGAGGGCATTTCAAGTAGATCTCTTATTATAGACATAATGACTTTAGAAATAGAAAAAAACCTCTGAAATGTTGGCACTGTAAATGTCACAGGGATAGTCAAATAGTCTTACTGACCAAATATACACTTTCTTCCATAGTATTGAATTTGACCGGGATTGTGACTATTTTGCAATTGCTGGGGTTACAAAGAAAATTAAAGTCTATGAATATGGCACAGTCATTCAGGATGCGGTGGATATTCATTACCCTGAAAATGAAATGACCTGCAATTCCAAAATCAGGTACTTAGATTATTTTTTTGGACATGATACAATGTGTGTATAACCTTTAATATCTGTGATTCATATGAATTTGTTATTTTACCGTTCTGTGAGACTCCTTATTCATTCATGGTAAACACTAATTGTATACAAAGGATACTTTATAATCTGTCTTATAGATATTCGTTGCTTTTTCTCTGGGGGGGTTAGTAGTCATTGTCTTTCTATTTGACAAATGAAAGTCTTCTCTTTGTTTCACTTAATCAAATAAAAATTGTTGTTGTAATTGGCTTCCATGGTGTGTTGAATAAAGGATTACTATAGGCTATTAATAGTGTCTGAAAGTCAGGAATTTTTTCCCTAGTATGTGCATGTCTCCAAATTTTATAATTGTTTATAGTTTTAAGAATTCTTTTTATAAGAACATTCTGCTGCTTTTCATAGAGGGCCTAATATTTAAGTTTCATATAGTAAGGGTTAAAGTTCATAATGAGTGCTTTTCAAATCTGAAATACTGTTAAAAATGCAGAAAGTGGGAATTACTTCAGATCTGCCTCCCCCAAATCTCAGGGGAATCTTAGAATCTGCATTTTTAAAACAAGCTTCCTAAGCTGTTCTCTTTGCCACTGGCTGAAAATGGAATGATACAAGGAAATCATCTAATAATAAATTTATTTAGAACTTTGAACATTTTTTGGTTATTTTTTAAAATTTTTTTTTAATTTTTAAGATTATTTATTTATTTATTTGAGAGAGAGAATGAGAGAGAGAGAGAACACATGAGAGGGGGGAGGGTCAGAGGGAGAAGCAGACCCCCTGCCGAGCAAGGAGCCCGATATGGGACTCTATCCCGGGACTCCAGGATCATGACCTGAGCCGAAGGCAGTCGCTTAACCAACTGAGCCACCCAGGCGCCCCGAACATTTTTTGGTTTTTCTTATAATCTTTTTTACCTGAGTGAATGACATACATAGTTTGGTTCTAATGCAGTCTGTTTGGAATCCTGTCCTGTTAAAGTCTGAGGCATCCAGGCACCTCTTCATAGGATTATACTTTAAATAAATCCACGCAATGCACTTAGCATGATACTTGGCCATTATCAGGATTCATAGTAAATGTTACTGAAATGACCATGTGGATTAGGGAGTTTGCCTTTTCTGTCTTGACAAATGTGAAAATACGGCAATAGTTTATGGCATGTTGGAGTAAATGGAAGAAGCTGTTCAGGGCTGGAAGCTATGGGTTTAGGACGGAGAGGATCATGTGTAAGAATGCCTAAAGCCAATATGGAGCACAGCAGTTGTGAAAGTGACCTAAATTACCCAAAATCACAGCTATTAAGTGGCAGATGTGGAATTTGAGTTCAGGTCTATCTAACTCCAAAATTTAGCTCCTTTGACTGTATAACTTCTCACAGAAATCCAGTAAATATATGTAAACATGCAAACGAACTCTTCTAGTCTCTGAAATTTAGCAAGAATGTAACCAGTAGAGAGTAAAAGACTTTATTGTTTTCATGTGCTTTGAAGTAATCTAGGTTGATTGCTTTCTAAGTGGCTTTTTTCCTTAATATACATTAGTTTTAATACATGATTCACATATGTGTCTTTACCAAAAGCATACATTTTTAGATGTTGCATTCTCAGTTTTGGAGCACTTGAGAATAGCTGAAACCATAAAATGTTAAAAGCTTTCATTCTAACTTATATTCAGTCATAAGCTTATATTAGTTAAGATTTTTTTTTTTAAGATTTTATTTATTTATTTGACAGAGAGAGACACAGCGAGAGAGGGAACACAAGCAGGGGGAGTGGGAGAGGGAGAAGCAGGCTTCCCGCTGAGCAGGGAGCTGATGCAGGGCTCGATCCCAGGACCCTGGGATCATGACCTGAGCCGAAGGCAGACGCTTAACGACTGAGCCACCCAGGCGCCTCTAGTTAAGATTTTTTTTTTGTATGTAAATACAGAAACCCAATTCAAATTAGTTTATTAGCTTATATGATTCAACACATCTTGATCCAGGGGTCTACACAATTTGATTAGGTCTCTATCATTGTGCTATGGCATGCTTTGTGCCCTGTTGGCCTCTGTTTTCACTCATAGATATGCTCTCCTCATGTATGAAAGATGGCCAGTGGTGGCTTTAGGCTCCTATCCATCTTTTGGCTAGTGGTCAGAGTGAATAGTGGTAAGGGTCGTTACTTGGTAGCTCAATAGAAAAACTTGGGAGTTATTTGATATATTTCTTCCTAGCTGTGTTGTGAGCAGATTGATTATGAAGCTATGTAGACCATTTCAAAAGGGTTCTAATCCTTCTGTACGCATAAAATTTTTGTATTCATTGTTATTTATTTTTACATAAAGTAAGGTTTAACTATATTTCTTTCTTTCAGCTGTATCAGTTGGAGTAGTTACCATAAGAATCTGTTAGCCAGCAGTGATTATGAAGGCACTGTCATCCTATGGGATGGATTTACAGGACAGAGGTCAAAGGTCTATCAGGTAAATAAGGATACTAGCTATTTAGAAACACATTTTTACTTTATAGTTATAGTTATAAATTTATAATTTATAATTACAAATTTTAAGCCACTATTTAGCATTTTTATACCTATATAATAGCAAATAATGCTTTTAATTATAAATTTAAAGCCACAAGCATTTTTTATCCCTCTGTAATAGGAAATAATGCTTTTCTGGAGCATCGCTTCAGACTTGTTTTGCTTTTGTAGAATGTGTCAAATGAATTTCCAAAAGCAATAAAATATGTATATATAAAAAGTTTGGGAATTACTTCGCATGTCATTTGTTTTCATGGCCTGTTCTCTTTCCCTCTCACCAGAGCAATAAATTGGTATCAAGTTTTTTGCTTTCTTTATTTTAAGATCTATATTCTGTCTGAGACTACTTTGTCTTCCTTCTGTATCCAGGAGCATGAGAAAAGGTGTTGGAGTGTTGACTTTAATTTGATGGATCCTAAACTCTTGGCGTCAGGTTCTGATGATGCAAAAGGTACTATTTGAATCTCTTCTACTTTCCCTCACTCCCTTACCCCCAACTTAATCCTTTTACTAGCAGAGATGCAGATATTTATTAAAAATCATAACAATCCTTTGTGATTATTATTCTAAAAATAATCTAAGTACAACAATCTATATCTCTTTTGGAGTGAAAGAAAAATGAATATACTACATCTTCATTATAATAATGTTTTCCAGATTCATGTCAGGTGGTGACATTTTTATAACCACTTCCTTTATATATAACATCAAGTAAACTTTTTTTGCTGAAATATTTAGACAGATCTCTGTCTTAAATTATATTCAATTTCGGGGCACCTGGGTGGCTCAGTCGTTAGGCATCTGCCTTCAGCTCAGGTCATGATCCCAGGGTCCTGGGATCGAGCCCCGCATCCGGCTCCCTGCTCAGCGGGAAGCCTGCTTCTCCCTCTCCCACACCCCTGTTTGTGTTCCCTTTCTCTCTGTGTCTCTCTCTCTCTGAAATAAATAAATAAAATATTTAAAAAAATATATATTCAATTTCTAGTGTATACTAAAATCTTTTAATGAAGTTTATCATATTTCAGAGAAAAATTCTGCATCTTTTTCTGCCAATTTAATTGACCTCTTTTCTTTTTTCTTTTTTTCTTTTTAAAGATTTTATTTATTTATTTGACAGAGAGAGACATAGCGAGAGAAGGAACACAAGCAGGGGGAGTGGGAGAGGGAGAAGCAGGCTTCCCCCTGAGCAGGGAGTTGATGCGGGGCTCAATCCCAGGACCCTGGGATCATGACCTGAGCCGAAGGCAGACGCTTAACGACTGAGCCACCCAGGCACCCCTCTTCTATTTTTTCTTATGTATCCCTCTTTACTATTCATGTTTTTCAGTTATCCTTACTATTTTGTTTCACCTGGTTCTTCTCACCATTAGATTTATAAAGCCCTGTTAACAGATTTCTGTTACCTTATAGTTAATGGCCTTAATTTTTTTGCCATTCTTTTCTACATGTAATCTCCAGACTAGTGATTAGATAGGCAAAGATAGCTCTAGTGTTGAAAAGTTTATTTCATAATGATATTCTATAAGTGGGAAATGAACATGTCTGGAGTTTTCCCCCAAAGATCAAAAAGTAGCAAGTTGTTTACCCATAGTATATATAGATTGGAATACCTTTCTTCTTGATTGTTTTAAGAAATTATCCTTGCATTTCTAAATTATTTAGACCATCATATGACAGTCGATATTTGCATGTTAAATGTTCTTTTTCATAGTATAATGGGGATAGCTTTTATTGAGTTGAATAGTTGTATTTTTGTACTGAAGATTAATATTTATTCAAAGGTGGTAACTGGTCATAGTCTTCCTCTGGAAAATAGAAGCCATTCGAAACAATTTAAGAAGAAAGAAGTAGAAAGGGATTTTTAGAGTTATTTATTCATGTTAAATTATATTAAGATCACATAACATAAAGTTAATTATTTTAACTATTTTGAGTCTACTGTTCTGTGGCATTAAGTACATTCACATTGTTGTGCAATCTTCACTACCATCAGTCCATAGAACTTTTTTCATATCACCAAACTGAAATTGTACCCATTAAACATAGCTTCTCATTTCCCCTTTGCCAGCCCTTTGCAGTCACATTTCTGCTTTCTGCCACTAATACTTCCTTGTTTCCAATATGTGTGCTTTTCTTTCTTCTTCTTCTTTTTTTCCTTGCTTTATTGTACTTGCAAGAATTTGCAGAATGGTGGTGTGTAGGACTGGTGATGGCACACATCCTTGCCTTGTCCTGATCTTATGGGGAATGCTTGTAGTCTTTTGTCATTAATATGATATTATTAGATTGAGACTTTCATTGGACATGTTTTTGTCAGGTTAAGGAAATCTCTTATTCCTTGTTTGCCAAGAATATTTATCATGAATGGATGTTGAATTTTATCATGATTTTTCTGTATCTGTTGAAATGATTATACTGGTTTTTTGTTTGTTTGTTATCATGATCTATTTTCATATCTTGAAGTAGCCTTATATTCCCAGGACAAAACCCCATCTTAGCCATGATGTATTATCTCTTTTCTGTATTGCCATGTTTGATTTGCTAATTTATTTTTTTAAAGGGATTTTTGCATCTATATTCATGAGGAGTATTGGCTTTTATTTTTCTGTTCTTGTAATATCTTTTTGTGGCTTTCATATCAGGATAATGCTGGCCTCATAAAATGATTTGTCTTGTTTTAGGGGGTATAGATGGAAGTGATCGTTTAGAATTGTTTTGTTTATAAATCTTTGTTATAACTTGTGATTGAAGCTTTCTGAGCCTTGAGTTTTCTTTGTGTGAAGGTTTTAATTAAGAATTTATTTTATTATTTTTTTAATTGAAGTGTAGTTGACATACCATGTTACATTTGTTTCAGGTGTACAACATAGTGATTCAGCAACTCTCTATGTTATATTGTGCTCATCACAAGGGTAGCTCCTGTCACCATACAATGCTATTACAGTACCATTGATTGTATTCTCTATGGTGTGCCTTTTAACCAGTGACATAAGAATTTAATTTCTTTAGTAGACTTAGGACTATTCATCTATTTCTTCTTGAGTGAGCTTTGGTAGTCTGTATCTTTCTGGAACTGGTATTTCTTGTCCTCTCATTTATCTATTATTTATGTATTATGTCAGCATGGCATTAAATTTATCAATTTTAATGATCTTTTTCAAATATCTAACTTTTTTTTTTTTTTTTTTTTTTTTGCTATTTTTCTTTTTGTAGTTTCGTTGATGTTTGTTTGTTAGCTTTTTCCCCCCCACATTAACTATTAATTTTTTTCTTTGGGTGTGATTTGCTTTCTTTCTCTTTTGTTAAAGTTGAATTTATGTCATTGATTTGAGCCTCTTATGTTTTCTAATATAAATATTTCCAGGTATACATTTCCATTTAAGCACCACTTCAGCTGACCCCTCAAATTTTCATATAATATATCTGTTCACTTTTAAAAGTACATGTAATTTCTCTTGTGATTCTCTTGTTTAGTTTGCTTAAAATTTTCAGAAATCTTTTGGTTATTGATTATAGCTTAATTCTAGTTGGAGAACATATTTTATATGACTTTAATTCTTTCATATTTGTTATGATTTGTTTTATGGTCCAAAGTATGATCTGCTTTGGTAAATATTCCAATTGTTTTGAAAAGAATCTGTGTTCTCCAGTGGAGTGTTCTGTAAGTGTCAATTAGATCAAAGTTATTGATAGTATCTTTTGGTTTTCTATATCTTTGCTGTTTTTGTTTGTCTTGTCTCCTTGTTCTACTGATTATGAAACAGGAATGTTGAAATCTGATTTTATTTCACCTTTCAGCCAGGAGCAGGTGTTTTGCCTCTTTGTTTATTTTGGTTTTTTGAAGCTGTATTGTTAGGGTCTTAAGCATTTAGAATTGTTGTCTTCATGAATTCACCCTTTTATCCATATATAATGTTATTCTTTATCCCTATTAATATTCTTTCTTCTGAATCTAGTTTGTTAGATATTCATAAAAGCAGTAATCACTTTTTCCTCTCCTTTGATATTCTACTTACATGAGTGTTAGACCTTTCATTTTGTCTTATAGGCCCCTGAGTCTCTGTTCTTTTTGTGTATCTTTTGTCTTCTTTACATTAAGTAATTTCTTTTGTTGTTTTAGATCACCGGCTCTTTTATCTGCTTATTTCTCTTTTGATATTGTTCAGTCCAGTGAATCTTTTATGTAAATTACTGTATTTTTTTTCTAAAATTTAATTTGATTCTTACTTCACAGTTCCTATATTCCTTCTGAGTATTTGTCTCTCTATTACTTTTAAATGTGTTTACCTTTACCCCGTGGAGCACAGTTACAATAGTTGCTTTAAAATCTGTTTTATAATCCCAACATCTAAATTTTAGCATTGGTTTTTGTTGATGGGATCTTCATTTGAAAATTCTTCATGTTGTCATGGATTTTTGTATGTTCAGTAATTGGTGAGTTGTATCTTAGGCATTTTGAATCTTTTGTAAGACTCTGGGTCCTGTTCAGATTTTCTGGAGAATGTTTTTTGTTTTGTTTTGTTTTCAAGCAGTTGGATCAGCAGTTTAGATGGTGACTGTATGTTCTATCTTGCTTTCTGTGTGAGTGATAGTTCCATTGTCAGGGTGGTTTTCAAAGCCTTTGCTGTGCTACATTAGTTTGTCTCATGCATATGCTAGTCGGGAGTTAATCTGGAAATTGAGTCGTCTTTTCAATTGTAGTTCAATGCATAAAGCCTTTGTGATGCTCCTTTGTGTCTGTCTTACACATACAGAGCTCATAAGTGACTAAAAGACTTAGGCCTATTCATACACAGAATATGGGATCTCTTTCTCCAGTGCTTTCTTTTCCAGGTTTCTCCCATATTCCTTGTCCCCCTTTCTTACTGAGGCTCTGTCAAGAAAGTTGGGGTTTCTCTACAGATGAGTTACTCCTTTTTAGACCACAGAGATAGAGTTTCTGTCGGAATATTAGCTTGCCATACTGCTGTAGCTCTGTGATGGAAGCCCACCCAGGGGGGAGAGTTAGAGAAGAAGAAGAATACAAAAAAAATGACCCTCAACCCTCTGCCTTGCAGGAATGCCTTTTACCAGTCTTATGGTTAGAAACACAGGGATTTTCCTCAGTTTTCGCTTATTGAGGTGCTGATTTTGGCATGCCAAGGAAAAAAAGGAGGGAGAAAAGAAATGGTACTCTTACCCCTGCATTGGTTACTTCTTTAAAGTTTTGAATGTCTTTCCCATAATGACTACTTTTCCTTACTTTTTGGATTCCTCAGACATTTGCTTTTTGCTTTTGCTTTTGATATTGTCCTCAGAGTAAACTCATAGTGGGAGAGATTGGCTATAGTGGGCTTACTTTATCTTGGTACTGAAAGTCCCAAATGCATTTAAGCCCATCTTAAAATTTTAGTATTATGTAAATGTATTTATCACTCTTTGGTGATTTTTACTTATAAAATATTGCTTATAAAATACTGCCTTTGTGATAATTTATAGTAAGAGAATATTTTAAATTGCTTTTCATGTATTTTACACATATATTTAGCATTTTATATTTTTTATATTTTTAACATTTTATATGTTTTGTATTAAATTTTTAATAGTTATTAATGGATATTATTTTTCAATCCATAATACTAAGTCCTTATAAATGACATTTTTTGTACTCATGCTGTTATTTATTTATTTTATTTAATTCTGTGTATTTAAAAAATAGTTTACTTTCAAATATATATGTACATGCTTGGATGTTAAACATGAGTGTAGCAGGCTAATAGATGTAGTATTGCTATGTTTCAAGTTAATCAGGAAATAATTTTATGAACCAGTTTATAAGTTCTTTATGAAAAATATATTTTCCTTTTCACGTACATAAACCAAGAATCATTTGCAATAAATAACCTTGCTTTTGAATTGGAATAATCACATCCTTTAAATGTTTTTTTTATCCCCAAATATGAATTTGAAGAATATTTAGGCTTTAGAACAGCAATAGTTATAGGTTCTTACTCATTCCAGATTTTCATAGCTGCATACATTAATGTCAAAGTGATAAATTTGAAATCTTGACAAGTTTAAAAAATTAATTTTAGTTAATGCATACTGAATGAAATACTTTTTTAATCAAAGGACTAAAAAATGAATAGCATTAGGATAGCAGTTATCTCTCCTCTAATTTATAACTTTAGGCAGTTATCATTCCTATAAATTATAACTTAAGTGTAATATTTCCTGTATCCAAGTGAAATTAAAAGGCTTATCTTAGACATTCTCCCAGATGGCCCCAGTGGTCTGTCTCCTAGTATCCTCATACTTTCCTCCCCATTGCTCCAGTCTGTGTGACTGGTAAAATACTACAGATGTGAAGGTATGTCACTTCTTAAATTAGTTTATATAAAACACTATAGCCTCTGTCTTCATCATTCTTTCTTTAGTATTTGGTTCAATGTGGAGAAGCTAGCAGTATTGTCATAAGCCCAAATGACGGGGTGCTTGGGTGGCTCAGTCGGTTAAGCGTCTGCCTTAGGCTCAGGACATGATCCCAGAGTCCTGGGATTGAGCCCCACTTTGGGTTCCCTGCTCAGCAGGGTGTCTGCTTCTCCCTTTCCCTTTGCACCTCTCCCTGCTTGTGGTCTCTCTGTCTCTCAAATAAATAAATAAAATCTTAAAAAAAACCCCAACAAACTCAAATGGTGGGAAACTGCATCCTCATGTCAAGAGCCATGTTGAGTGAGCTTGCAGTGGATCCTGTAGTTCAGCTGAATGGTGACCTCTCTGGGCCCTTGAGACTTAGCCAAGACTACCTAGCTAAGCTGCTCAGAGATTCCTGACCCTCAGAAACTGTGTGACAGTAAATTTTGTTGTTTTAAGTTGCTAAGTTTTGGGGCAATTTGCTGTGCAACAATAGCTAACTAATACAACAAGGTCTGTTTTCTCTATTTGATCAAGTTTAAAAGAAAAACTTATGTTTGGTAAATCAGTATTGTCAAAGTGAACATCTTTGTGCTTTATCTTTCATATTTTTAAAAAAAGATTTTATTTTCTAATTTAAGTGTCATTTTGTTCTAGTTCATTCTAATGCTTACTTATATTTAATTGTTATAAAATACTGATGTGTAAACCTTGTTTATAAAGGTTTTTAGTGATCATTAGTGGAGTTATGGGGATAGTAGGAGCTCCATAAATATGTGGTGTGGGTTAACTTTGGCTTGCTACTTTTTTTGAGTACAGCTCTACCACTTGATATTTTAATCTATAAATGTTGTATTTGACTTGTAGACTTTTAATTATAGCTAGCCATTTCATCTCAGATTGTATATCTTAATTGCTGGGACAATTTTATATTGATTGGAATAGCACATGATTCCTATTAGAAAATAACATGAAACAAACCAAATATTGCTATTTAAAACTCTTATTCTTTTATTTTAATATTGAGTGTCTTATTTTTCTCTTAGGAGGCTAATAGATTGATTAGGTTGTAAGTAACTTTTTTAATGGTTAACTTATATTCAAGGTGCACATATTTAAAGAAACTCTCCATGGAATTCCACTTGTAAAAGATGAATTATCCCATTCACACAGAGAAAATCTCTATTCTTAGGAAATACCATTTTATAGAAGTGAGAGTTGGAACCATTTTTACTTTTTTTTATTCCCATTTACAGATCACCATATTAGTATTCCTAAAAAGATTCTAAAATTTTACAGTGCCTCCATCTTAATACTGGTTTTCAACCCCAAATGCACATTGGAATCACCCAAAAAGCTTTTAAACAAACACCAATACCTGGACCCCAACTGGGTATTGTCCAGGACAGGTCATTGGGGGACAGGACATTGACGCCCATTGAAAAGATGGGCAGGAAGATTTTTGTTCTTGTTATAGTTAGTGTTCATTATTAATTGTAATGTGTAACCAGGAGTGTAACCAGTATCTTGAAAGTCTGTCTTATGTGTGTATTCTGTTGTCTCTGAAGACATTTTTGATGTATGATATGATCGTTGCTCTGGTACCTTACAAGACAACAGCTCACCTTTCTATTTCTGCTCTCAGATCTGACCTGCTCTGATCAGTTTTTCTATAATCTTTACAAATCTCAGTATATACCATTGGAATAGACTAAACATCAAATGTTAAAACAAACATTTAAAGTTTAGCTAAACAATGCTGTAACATTACTTTGGATACACTTAAATCATATAACTGAGTTCCTACATAAAATTTTAAAATCATGGAATTCTTAATTGAAAGATAAAACAAGCACCACTTCCAGGTACTTTAAAAATGGCATTTGTTTTCTGATATATATAATAAATATGAAAGTGTGTGTGTGTGTGCATGTGTGTGTAGGAGTGGGATGACTATATGATTCATCTTCCTTCCACCCATGACACTTGAGAAAAATACACACCATTTTTCTTCAGTAGGCTCCATGCCCAGTGTGGAACTTGCACTCACCACCCTGAGATCAAGTCACATCCTCTACCGAGTAAGCCAACCAGGTGCACCGCCCCCACCAACATCATTTAAAGAATACTGAAACAAATACACATGTATCTCTATATTGCCTTTTTTTTTTTCTTCCCCACTTTTTTATGCTTTAGTTATGGGATCATGTTACCTCTCAGCACATTTTTAGTCTGTTGTTTTCTGACTTTGAAACTATGCTCTCTTGGTTTCAATACATTGTTCTGTTACTCAGTCATTTAATTTAAAGGTTTTTGGTTCTCATAAACTAAAATGCTTTGGATTAGTATGAAAAGGCAACTGTAGCAATAAGCAGACTTTCTCAGTTACAGAAGCACTTGCTAATGTATTGTTTAATTCTTTTCATTTTTATTTTTCTTTACTCTTAGTGAAGCTATGGTCTACCAACCTAGACAACTCAGTGGCAAGCATTGAGGCGAAGGCTAACGTGTGCTGTGTTAAATTCAGCCCCTCTTCTAGATACCATTTGGCTTTCGGCTGTGCAGGTATGAAATTAAAGCAGCTTTGTCTTCTTTTGATGTTGGTTGAGTATCGTGGCTAGGATAAAAGACTGTAGTTTAAAACAAATAATTTGCCTTGTAGGTTTAAATTTTGTTTTGGTTATTAGGCTCTAAGTTAGAAGTATGCAGTGTGCCGTCATTACTCATTTATTGCTATGCCTTAATTTCAGTATTCTGTCACCATCTTTAATACATAGAGATGGTTTGTTGATTATTTTTGTTGTTTCTCTAAGTCTTTGCATGCATGAACTAATGCTTATTCATAAACTTAGGTTGTAATGATGTTTAAATGATTAAACTATATTATATAGACATAGGAATCCATTTTTTTAATTAAAGGAAATCTATTCATCCTTCAAAAATTTAATATATATATATAAATTATATATATGGGACAGTGAATAAGACAGATAAAATTTTTCATCATGGAATGCATAGGAACATAGGAAGTTCTTAAAAACATGTTAGCTGTTATCATAAGAAAGAATTTTTTGCTAACATATTTTTCTTAACTAGGGTGACCAAATGTCTGCCTTTGCCACTCGTGGTTTATACTTATACTGTCATGATTACTTTAGTGCCGTCTTTCATTCTCAGTAGTGTTGTTGGTTGGAAGATAAATCATATGGTTATCCCGAGTCCTTTGTCTTCTTTATCTGTCCACTCCCCCCAAATATTAACTAGAACAGTAAATACCTGTAATTTAACTTCTGCATTAGGAAATCTCCTTGATTCTGTTTGTATTGATAATCTCAGTTTATTTACAGATAAGTTTGGCACCATATAATGAACACAGAATCACCCTTAAAAAAGGAAAAGCACAATTTAAATCTTTTTTGTTATTATACCCTTTCCTTATTTTAACTTATTTACTCACTTTTATAATGACATAATTTCATAGTTAGTTTCAGTAGGGTGTTGTCTAACATGTATCTGTAAGTAGAATTCTCTTTCTGTTAGCATACAGAATTTTTTTTTCATGATCAAGTGGTATTCTTTTCCATTTGAACCTACTACTTCCTTATTAACTCCCTTTTCTATCACTGACTAGGCAAGTTGATTAACTTATCTCCCCAAGTTTCTTATCCTTAAAATAGAGATAGCCCTTTGGGGCTTTATGAGGATTATGAAAGGAAAATGTTATATGTAAAGCTCTTATAATATGGTACTTAATAATTGTTTAGTTATTTTCATTATTAATATTCTATCATGCATTGAATTAAAATAGGTTATTGAGTTTTATTGTTATGTTCTATTTTATAAACACACTGACCGTTGGCCATCATTTATGAATAGAAGTTATTAGTATTTAATAGGTACAAATACCAGATATGAATGTCTTCAAAATTTTTCCTTCCTGGTAAAGGGAAGCCTACTTTATGTTTTCTCTTTTAATTTAATTTAATTTTTAAGTTTATTTACTCAAGTGATCTCTGTACCCAACCTGGGAATCAAACTCACAACCCTGAGATGAAGAATTGGAAGCAAAAAAACTTCCGACTGAGCCAGCCAGGTTCCCCTAGGGGAAACCTACTTTAAAAAAATGCTTTGCTATCTGGCAGGCTGTTTGCCCTTACTGTTTTAAATTTTCATGTATTTCTTACTTAATTTTTGCATTTGCTTTTCATGTATGCTTTAAGATTTATATTTTTCCAATTCTAGAAAAATTCTTTTGGGATTCTCCTCTGAATTACATTATATTTATTTGTTATTTTTGGAACCACTGGGGCATTATTAAGATAGTACATCTTCCCACATAGTTACATGGGGTATTTTTCTGTTTGTTGGGATTATTTTCTATCTTATAATGAGATTTTATAGTTTACTTCATTTAGGTACAAGGTCTTTCTGGTTAATTTTTTTCTATGTATAATTTTTGGTTCTATTTTAAATAAAATATTTTTTCTGTTCCTTATTTTAAGTACTGTTTTCTAAGAGTAGATAAAATTTTTTGATATTTAGATATATATATCTAGGCACCTTTAAATGTTTCTTATTAAATTTAGTAATTTTTTAGTAGTCTTTGAGTTACCTATTTATATTTGATAGTGGCCAAAGTGATGTTTGTATTTCTTTTCCAGTGATTTATTGCCTTCTCTTCTTACAAGGCAGTGTTATAGGATACTAGTGATAGTTACTTTCCTCATCTGATTCATTTAGTTGAATGGGCTTCAGTCTTTTACTTTTTAGGGTATCTACTTTTTTTTTTTTTTTTTAAGATTTATTTATTTGAGAGAGTGAGAAAGAGAGAACATGTGCATGGGTGGGGGGAGTGGCAGAGGGAGAGAATCTCCAGCGGACTCCACAATGAGTGCAGAGCCCCACTCAAGGCTCGATCTCATGACCTTGAGCGTGAGATCACGACCTGAGCTGAAACCAGGAGTCAGACGCTCAGCTGACTGAGCTACCCAGGCGCCTCCAGGATATCTACTTTTGGAGAGTAGTCTTTATTAAATTCAAATGATTCATTTTACTGTTTCTTAGGAGCAACTGCAGTATTTCATCAAGTGCTTTTTTAGCCACAGTTGATATAATCATATGGTTTAATTCGTTGACATGAATTATGTATATACATTTTCTGATTTGAATTATATTTGTGTTTCTAGAATAAACCTTGATTGAGCATAATGTGGAATTCTTTAATGAATAGCTTTATTTATTGCTGGTATTTTTGTATCTATAATCATAAATTTGATCTATAATTTGTTTTTTTAAACCATTTTAATCATTTTATAATTCCTAGTATACAAGTCTTGAACTTGTTTAATTTATTCCTGAGTATTTACTTATATTTTTTTAATTTAAAAAATTTTTTTTCCAAGTTTTTATTTAAATTCCAGTTAACATAGAGTATTTTATTACTTTGAAATGTATTATGAATGGAATTGTTTACTTAATTTTATTTTTGAATAGTTTGTTGCTAGAGTTCAGAAAAACAGTGAATTTTTTTGTATTGATCTTGCATCCTGCAATCTTGCTGGTCTTGTGTATTTTTTCCTCTTAGTTTTATTGTGGATTTCATGGGATTTTCTATAGTTAAGATCAAGTTATCTGTGAATTAAAGTAATTTTATTTCTTCTTTTACTATGTTAATGTCTTCTTGCTTACTTGTATGAGCTAAAAGCCCACGTACAATGTTGAATGGAAGTGGCAGAAGGAACTTCCTTACCTTATGGAGAAAGCATTCAGTCCTTCACAATTAAGTGTGATATTAGCTGTGAGATTTTTGTTGATACCCTTTATCAGATTGAGTAAATTTTCTATTCCTCTGCTAAGAGTATTTATTATGAATGAGTGTTAGATTTTGTCAAATGCTTTTTCTGTGTCTATTGAGGTAATGTCTATTGAGATAGTTTATGTCCTGTATTATAATGTGGGATAGTTCGTTGTTGTTTTGAATGTTAAACCAACCTTCCATTCTTGGGGAAAATCTCTCTTAGCTATGGTATAAAATCCTTTTTATATGTTGCGGGATTGAGTGTTCTAATGTTTTAAGTATTTTTGTGGTATTTGTAACTTTCTTGTGATGTTTTCTGGCTTTGATAGCAAGGTACTATTGGCCTTATAGAATGAGTTGAGAAGTATTTATTTACTGAATGAGTTTGTAAAGGGTTGGTATTATTTTCTTTAAATTTTTTTTTAAGATTTTATTTATTTATCTGAGAGAGAGTGAACAAAAGAGAGAGAGCATGAGTGGGAGAAGGGGCAGAGGGAGAGGGAGAAGCAGATTCCCCACCTAGCAGGGAGCTCAATGGGGGACTTGATCCCATGTCCCTGGGATCATGACCCAAGTGGAAGGCAGATGCTTAACAGACTGAGCCACCCAGGCGCCGCTCTTCTTTAAATATTTGATAGAACTTATCAGTGAAACCATCTGGACTTCATGAGGATATTTTAAATACCTAATTTAATTTCTTCTTAAAAGTTTATTCAGATTTTCTATTTCTTTTTGAAATCAGTTTTGGTAGTTACTGTCTTTCTGGGAATTTGTATGTTTAATTTTTCTAATTCGTTGTAATAAAGTCGTTCTAACATTCTCTTATAGTTCTTTTAATTTCTGTAGTGTTAGTAGTGTCCCTTCTGTCATTGCTAATAAGTCTTTTTTGTCTTCTCTCTTTTTTCTTTTTGGTGGGTCTAGTTAAATATTTGTCAGTTTCTTCAAGGGATGTGTCTTTATGACAGGTGCTTCAGACCAGAATGCCATGTATTTCCATTGTTCTTAACATTGTTACCCAAACTTACTTGTTGGAAGGGTTAGAGATCTGTAGGCTGAGCCTCTTAAAATGATTCTTAGCTCGGGCGCCTGGGTGGCTCAGTCGTTAAGCATCTGCCTTCGGCTCAGGTCATGATCTCAGAGTCCTGGGATCGAGCCCTGCATTGGGCTCCCTGCTCTGCGGGAGGCCTGCTTCTCCCTCTCCCACTCCCCCTGCTTGTGTTCCTTCTCTCGCTGTGTCTCTCTCTGTCAAATAAATAAATAAAATCTTTAAAAAAATAATAATAATTCTTAGCTCACCGTATCAGTAGACCAAGAGAGCTGTTATTTCTTTCTCATCCAATCGAGATCAAGATATGTTGAGTTCAAGAACATTATGCCATTACTATAATCAAGAAATCAGAAATCTTTTACTGTAACTGATACAAAGCTGGAGACTGGACGCTGGAATATTACATTAGAAAACCTCCACATCTTTACAGTGATGCTTGCAACAAAAATAACCAAAGCAGAATGACCACCAAGTTTCTATCTTTCAGATCTTACATAAGTGTATCCCTGTGCTGGAAACTCATTCACATCTGGAAGCATAACTTCAAGAGAATCTGGGCAATATAGTTTTTAACTTTCCATCCTCCATAGGCTTAAATAAGGTGGTAGGAATGGATGCTGAGGTCATTGGCCCTATCCAGCACAGTGCAGTTTCATATGAGTTAAGGACTTACTTTTTCTGACTGTGAAATAGGTGTTTAGTATCCAAGCAAGCATTAAT